CCCGCCGAGTGAAACCCTTCGGCGCGCCGGAGGAGACAGCGTGTGTCTGTGTGGTATGCGTATGTGGTGACTGGGTAATGCTGTCGATCTCCGATGGGCTGATCCAGTATCCCCACGCCGCGTGACCTTCTACCCCGCCCCGCTGCGCGTGTGGCCGCGACGCCAAACAGTGTGTTTTTGTCAGCTTGCACGCGCGCGCAGCCAAGCTGTTCGTGCAGCAGCCACTTAGGCCGCAACGACAGAGCCCAGAGGCCCAATGGAGCCGCGCACCGCAGCTTAACGGCCGTGCCAGGCCACTGAGGCCCGACAGCCGACACCGCGGCGGCACGGAGGCCAAAGGAGCCAACACGCCGCACGCGCAAGGAGGTCATGCCAACGCGCAGCGTGTATGAATCAACGACGTGAGAGATCCAACGCGTAGCGCAAGGTATGATTGCAACATGCCGCACCAAAAAGTGCTTGTCTGTGTCAGTCTGTGCGTGCGTGTGTGAATGTGTGCGTGCGCGCGCTTGCCATTCGCGCTGGCACGCCCCGCTCGCGCATCATCAGCTGTTGCCCCGCCGCCGCGGGGGAGGAAAACGTGTGTTCGTGTGTGTGTGTGTGTGTGTGTGTTCGTGTGTGTGTGCGCGCGTGCGTTCTCAACGCCGCGTGATCTTGGCCAGCCGCGCGCGTCTCTTCGTACCACTTTCTACGCCGCGCCGCCGCGCGCGAGGCCGCGACGCCAACAAGTGTGCGAGTGCGCGTGCGTGCGTGTGCGTGTGCGTGTGCGAGTGCGCGTGCGTGCGTGTGCGTGTGCGTGTGCGTGTGCGTGTGCGTGTGCGTGTGCGTGTGCGTATGCGTGTGCGTGTGTGTGTGTGTGCGTGTGCGTGTGCGTGTGCGTGCGTGTGCGTGTGCGTGCGCGTGTGCGTGTGTGCGTGTGTGCGTGTGTGCGTGTGTGCGTGTGTGCGTGTGTGCGTGTGTGCGTGTATGCGTGTGTGCGTGTGTGCGTGTGCGTGTGTGCGTGTGTGCGTGTGTGCGTGTGTGCGTGTGTGCGTGTGTGCGTGTGTGCATGTGTGTCCATGTGTGGCATGTGTGCATGTGTGTGCGTGCGTGTGCGTGTGTGCGTGTGTGCGTGTGTGTGTGCGTGTGTGCGTGTGTGCGTGTGTGCGTGTGTGCGTGTGCGTGTGTGCGTGTGTGCGTGTGTGCGTGTGTGCGTGTGTGCGTGTGTGAGTGTGTGTGCGTGTGTGCGTGTGTGCGTGTGTGCGTGTGTCCGTGTGTCCGTGTGTGCGTGTGTCCGTGTGTGCGTGTGTGCGCGTGCGCGTGTGCGTGTGCGTGCGCGTGCGCGTGTGCGTGTGCGTGTGCGTGTGCGTGTGGGTGTGGGTGTGGGTGTGGGTGTGGGTGTGGGTGTGGGTGTGGGTGTGGGTGTGTGTGTGGGTGTGGGTGTGGGTGTGTGTGTGGGTGTGGGTGTGGGCGTGTGTGTGTGTGTGTGTGTGTGTATGCGAGCGCGCGCGCGTGCGCGCGTGCGTGCGTGCGTGCGTGCGTGTGGTGTGCGCGCACACGCGTGAGAAAAAATCTGGGACCGGGATGGATGGAGGGCGCGGCGGCGCTGTCCTCTGGCGTAGCAGGGCGCTCTCCCCCATTTCTCTCTCTGCGAGGCGGAATGGTCAGCAGGAGACCGGCTCACAGCCGTTAGGAGGGCACCCCGAGGCAAGAACCTCCACAGGTAACGGCGACAACGTCCGACCAAAAACCTGGTGATCCTCCCGGACTCACCACCCGAGGGAACGCAGGGACCTCCGGGTCCCCCCCAGGCCCGGCCGACGCCGCCGCGCGCTCTCCCCCGAAGGGCCCGGGGATCCAGCACCCCAGCGCACGACGCGGAGGCCATCCGGCACGCCCTCGAGGGGCAGCAGCAGAGAGGGAGGGGGGGGCCTGGCTCAAGGGGGGGGGGCACGTGGGCCCGATTTCGAGGAGGCATCGCCGAGGCATCGCCGACGGATCGGCGAGAGGCCCCCGCCAGCAAGCCCGCAGGTTCCTCGGGCGGGGTGGGCCAGCGGGCCTCCACCTCGGCGGCGACTGGGCTATTGGGGGGGGGTCGATGGGCTCCCCCCCCCCCTGAGCCTAGTATCCCCCCTATGAGAGGGGCCCTGGGACACGCAAATAAATAGACACAAAACAGGGGTCACCATATGTTCCCATCTTTTCTGGGTGTTTGTCTTCCCAGCACTTCCCATATTTTCCTACATTTTGTTTGGGGAATCGACGATTAATTGTGTCTGTGTGTTTCTTTCCCTCCTGACCCTAGCGTTGCCTCTGAGGTCTGCCGACGCCCAGCTGCGGCCCGCTCCCGGGAGCCGAGAAATCAGAAACGGTGTCGGGTCGGACGAACACGAGGGGCAGAATTGGGTCGGGCGTGTCCTCCTGCAGGCGGAGCTTGGACGACAGATCAAACATACCCACAACAGAACCAACAAGCATTCAAGAATGAGCAGAACATCGCCCCCATCTTTTTTTTTGTGACTATTTTTGAATATCCCCCTGTAGTGACGAACGAACAACCCACACCCATACCCATAGGGGGGTCGTTGGGAGGAGGACTGGCTATGGGTATGGGTGCGGGTTGTCGGACCCTGGGGTACGCTTCCGTTCGAGCGGGGACCCCCATCCGACAACACGCACCCGTAGCCCTCTCCGATCCCCCTATGGGTATGGGTGTGTGTGTGTATGTGTGTGTGTGTGTGTGTGTGTGTGTGTGTGTGTGTGTGTGTGTGTGTGTGTGTGTGTGTGTGTGTGTGTGTGTGTGGGGGTGTTGTTGGCTCGTCATGTGGAGGGACAGGCCCGACTTAAGGGTAGAGCATGGCGAGGGCCCGTGAAGCAGCGCTCGCGCAGCTGGCCCTCCCGGCGGCGGCGACGCGCCGAGGAGCGCGGCGCCCAGCGGCGGGCCCGACGCTGGCCGCGGGCAACCACTTCCGCACACCGCCCCCCCCACTTCTGGCGGTGCGCCCTCCTCCTCCTCCCCCTCCTCTCCTCCTCCTCCTGCTCCTCCTCCTCCTCCTCTTCCTCCTCCTCCTCCCCCTCCTCCCCCTCTTCCTCCTCCTCCTCCTCCTCCTCCTCCTCCTCCTCCTACTCCTCCTCCCCATCCTCCTCCTCCTCCTCTTCCTCCGCCGGGGAAAGGGCTCCTCACGAGGTTGGCTGCCTCTGATAAGGCGCCGGCCTTATATCTATAGAGGAGGCCCGCGCAATTGAAGAAGCAAAGGGGGCTTCCAAGCAGCCCTCCCCCCTCCCCCCATCCCCCTCTGCGCGCGGCTGACGCGTCGTCAGGTCCCATGACCTGGACGCCCGACGTGGGCACGGAAAACGTGGGCACGGTGCCCAGCAACAAAGGCTGTCCAACACCGGCAGCGGCCGCGGTGGGGCAGGCGGCCTCTTGTCTCGAACGGACAGGGCCAGAGGCGGCATGGACAGCGGGCCCAGTTTAAATTGAACAGGAACTGGTGTTGGGCATCTAGGAGAAGAGAAAACAGCACAAACATAAATTTCTGGGGCTCCGCGAAGATTTCTTGCATCTGCCCCGGACATCCCTCCCTGGCGCGTGGAGCGCGCCACGGGCGGCGCCGGAGGCGCCGCCGAGGGGGGCCCAGCGCGGATCCAAGAAATCCGCGCGGATCGCCAAACATGAATGTTTATGGTGTTTTTCTTTTTCGATGAAGAGGAACTGGTGTTTTTGGACGCCCGAAATGGGCACGGAAAGAATGGGTACAATGCCCAACAACAAATGTTGCCCCAAACCAACAGCGGCGGCTGTCGGGCAGGTGGCCTTCTGTCTCGAATGGACACAGGCCGCGGCGGCGCGGACAGCGAGCCCTGCTCAAGATGAACCAGACATGCTGTTGGGCATTGCACCCATTCTCTCCGTGCCCATCCCGCTCGTGCAGAATGTTGGGCAATGTGCCCATTCTTTCCGTACCCATGTCGACTGTGCGGGCAGGATGGCCCAGCGCGGATCCAAGAAATCCGCGCGGAGCGCCAAGCATGTATGTTTATGGTGTTTTTCTTCTTCGACGAAGAGGAACTGGTGTTGGGCATTGTGCCCATTCTTTCCGTGCCCATGTCGACGGTGCCGGCAGGATGGCACCTCCCGTGGGCGCCTACCTTCCCCCTCCCGCCAGGCCCCCACCGCCGCCCTCCGCCGGCGCCGCCGCGGCCTCCTCCCTCCCGAGCGGCCCGACTCTTCAGGGGCGGGCTGGGGAATACTGGCAGCGAGGACTCACCGGCGATCGGGGACGAGGACGATGACGATGGTGACGAAGAGGAGGAGGAGGAGGAGGGGGGGGAGGAGGAGGAGGAGGAGGAGGAGGAGGAGGAGGAGGAGGAGGAGGAGGAGGAGGAGGAGGAGGAGGAGGAGCTTTGCAGCTTTGCAGCGCCTCCCAGCGCGGTCAGCGGCGGCCGCGGCCGCCCGCCCGCCGAGGGGAGGGAGAGAAGCAAGTGGCCGACGGCTATGCCGCAAACCACAAAAGGAGCTGGATCCAGCGGTGGCGACGAGCCAAGCGGGAAAAAGCTCAGAAGCGTCCAGCCGCGTCGACGAGGAGAGAAGAGCAGGCAGGCTGCCCGCTCAAAGCACCAGGCAGGGCAGTTCGTGGGAGCCAACCCCGTCGACCCAGTGCATCTTTCTCCAGTCGTTAGCGTAGGCCAGGGACGCAATCCGACGGCGCACTAGGCATCTGGTACCTGGTTGCGCCTTTGGGCTGGGAGACTGGCGTCTCCGTCGCCCAGGGTGTCGGCGCACCCTGTTGCAGAAGCTCCGCCCCGTTGTCGAAGAGGAAGGCCACGACGAACACGATCAACGACGGTAGTCTGAGCCTGCTTCGTCTTGGGGTTTACCGAGAAACCCTCGCACAACTTTCGCAACTTCCGCGCAGCGTGCGGCCGTGCTTGTTCACAAATGCCTGCACACTTGCTGCAGCAGTAGACGCCGTAGGCCAGGAAAGTGTCATGCCCAAGCTCACGAAAAGCCTGCTGCATTAGATCACTGTCAGCGTCGGCAGACGGGCTACCACTATCACGGTCGCCAGAGTGGTGTTCACCACCAGGCTGTGGAACACCAGGCTGGTGAACACCAGGCTCTTGTGCTTCGCGTTGTAGGTCAGCACAGCGGACGGCCACCTGAACTCGCCCATCGGCTAGCGGAGTCCAGGAGAGGCGAGTCGTCTCGAAGAACGCCTTCGCCATTGCTCGTGTGATCCGCGTGGGAGTGCACTTCCTGTTCGAACCTGAGCGCAGAGTCGCCAAGGACGCCGCGGTAGAGGCTGTAGCATTACACCCGCGACATCGGCATTGGCCCTGCTGGGCACAGAACCAGAGGTCATGATCCTTAGGACGACCAAAGACCACAGGGACCATCTGCTGACTGAGCGGCGCCACTGGGACGTCGTCTCGCCCAAACCGCTGGTAACGGATGACCCTCAGGCAGGCTTGAGAGACAAACTGGAGCACCGTCCTGTGCTGCTTCATGGCTGCCTTGAGCGAGTCCGACAAGGAGCGGGGCATGGCGTGCTGACGAGCGCCCAACCTCGCAAAGTAGTCCGCCCAAGCATTGCCAATCCAGTCACAGATGTCCAGCGGGGCCGCCTCCAACAGGTCATCGGCCGAGCGGTGTGCAGGGGGCCATCGGAACGTCGGGGCGTCCACTGAGGAACGCTCCCGAGCTGCAGTGAGGATATCCCGCCATACGCGCGCATAATTGGACCTGCTGCAGTCCAATTGCGCTCCCCACTGGTCGGCCTCCTATACCAAACTCTTGAGGTCCGTGACGAACTCTCGATGTTCGGGATGAATGTCGAGTCCCATCTTAATGGCAAGCCGTTCAGCACGCCCCGCCGTCTGAACGATGTACGGGAGAGGGCCGCACACGGCCCGAATGGGCATCCAGCTATAAGGATCCAGCTGGACAACGGCTTGACCATATCGACGAATTTCTGGCATGTTCGAGTCATAGCCAGAGCCATCCGTGTAGGAGGTGGGTCCCCAAGTGCCTTGAGTATCGCCCCAGTGAAGAACCTCGTTGCCAACGGTGCCCATGGACGGCAAGTAAGCAGGGGGTTCGGGTGCCCCGTAAACGAGGTACGTCTGCTCGTAGTTGGGAGTTCCACTGCCCAGCCCTGCTGCGCGGAGATGTTCACGCACCTCCAGCAACCGCGGAGGGATGGCAAGAAAAGCATGGTCCTTCGAGCGAATCGTGGCGCCGACACTCTGGGTGCCAGTCGCAGTTGCAGAGTCCAGCCCAAAATCCTGCATGCTCACATCGTCGCCAGGTTCCTGGGGAGGCTCGTCATCCGTGGCGTCATCGGGTGCATCACCAACCGCAGGGAAGAACGACTCCTCCTCCATGGCGTCAGGACTGCGCGCCGCGCCTGAGCTGGTACCACCACCAGCCGGCAGAGAGTGAACAGCACGATGGGGAGCTTCAGGGACTCCTTCATCACAGACCTGACTGGTGTTGCCTGAATGCGTGGGTACGATTGACGTCCCATCGCCTGCCAATGGCGTCTGTCCGTGTCGCGGCATGGCTGTGTCCACTGATGGCGTGGCGGTGTCTGACACCCCATCGCATTCGGCCAAGAGGCCAGGACAGTCGTAGAAGACATGGCCCCAGCACGTGTGCCTATCCAACTGAGCGCCACATGCGCGACACGGCCTCATGGGCTGGTTAAGCTTCATGTCGCGACGTATTGGGATGGGAATGTTGTCGGCCCAATGGGCATGTAGGGCTCCAAGCCGACGAGGGTGGCGGATGCCCTTTATGACATAGCGCATGCCACTGTGCCACAACTGCGCACCCGTGCTGGTGCACCAGTGTCGCTGAAGCCGCTCATGCTGCCAGCGCTGGATGCCTTCAAGCAGGTAAGGCTTGAGGTCGGCGGGGCACACATGAAGAAGATCGTAGTGGCGCCCCAGATCATCGCGGAGAGTCTGGGAAGAGACCATGTCCCATCCAATGCGCCGTAGAGTAAGAAGAGTAGCGCCGAGGGGCCCCGCACCTGATCCCATCTGGCGGGACCGAGGTGCTGTAGCGCTTGCCAGGCACGACAGAGTCGGCCCAGAGAGATTCGAGCATCCCAAACCCAGCCTGCGTACCGCATCACAAGGTCGACAGTCGCACCGAAGATAGGGTCGTACTGCTCAGCCCAGTGAGTCATCAGGTAGCTGGTGAGGCCGACGTTGGAGGTGCCAGGGGCTCCGTTGAGAATAGCCGCGAACCTACGCATCTCGCGAAGGTAATCATCGGTACCCCCTGAAACTCCAGCCCCGATGAACCCCAACCGCTGCCGGCTGCACTTAAGGTGGGATGCGCTCGTTTTCCCTATCCCTGGCATCGTCTTCGTGCATTTTTCGACCATGCTGAACGAGTCCAAGAGGGGATGATGCACGATGGGAGAGGTGGTCAGTCCACCTCCCCACCACAGTACTACGCTGATCAGGCCCCCCGACGGACCCCCTCGGCTTCACCTCCGCCCCTGTCTCCTCTGCAGGTGCTATGGGGCGTTGTCCTGCAAGGTATTGACTATGAGTTGGCGGGCAGACACGACCTTGCGCAGTCTGATGCCACTCCTTTTGTCGGACGCCACGGACCTCCACAGTTCAAGTGGCGCACGATGAAGTGGAGGCCCCCACGCAAACGCCAAACATGGGGTCAGCGTACCCACGACTGGGCCACCATCAAGCGCTGGGTCCAGCACCTGCGCTCGGAGCGGTCTCGACTTGATCGCTATGCCCTGCGGCTCCAGGCGATGGGGGACTTGGGCATGGCGCAGGTTCCCCACTACCAGAAGGTGGCGCAGGTCAGGCTGCAGGTGGAGCAGTTCTGCCGTCAGATCCTTAAGCATGACACGATCATTGATCGACTTGTTCCAGCCAGCTGGCCTTCTTCCGCGAGGGCGTGGATGGCTTTGGCTCCGACCACTTCAATGGCATGGCGGACGCTATTGAGGGGCATGCCCAGGCCATCCTGTTGCAGGCCCAGTCCCAGGTCCGCTGCGTCTGGCTCCAGTGGGCACGCGACGCCTTTCTTGGAGGAGCGAGCGTGGCACACGCTACCTCCAAGGTACGGGCTGCCCAGGAGGTCTTAGAGCATCGTGATGACGTTCAGCCACATGTGCTTGCCAACCAGGTCCTCGACGGCTGGGTTGACATCTGGGAGCGACATGGGTCGATGGAGCTTCAAAAGCCCCACGACGCGGATACTTGGGATAGTCGGCCTCCCATTGGAGTGGATGTGCTCCGTGCAGCTATCCGCTCGTTCTCATTGACAACGGCGGTGGGCCCTGGTCGATTGGCTCCACGACAATTTGATCAACTGAGCGATGCTGCGCTGCGGGCGCTCGCGCGTATGTTCATGCTGTTCGAGGACTGCCTCCTTTGGCCTGATGCTCGCATCCTCAGCGAGCTCGTCAGATTACCTAAGCCAGAAGGAGGGCACCGACTGATTGTGCTCAGCTCCACGGTCATACGGGTCTGGGCAAAGGCGCGGCAGCCCCTTTCAGCGGAGTGGCAGGCGAGGCATCCCTGCGAGGAAATGTGGGGGACCAGAGGGGGCCAGACCTCTTCGGACTCTGCATTCTCCCACAACCTTGAGCAAGAGGTTGGCGACCTCCTTGACGAGCACACTGCGACCATCCTGCTGGACATGAGCAAGTGCTTCGAGATGGTCAAGCACGACTCCCTTCTCTTGGAGGCGCGCGAGATGGGCTACCCTCTCCGCCTGGCCTGGATGCTGATCCAGCTGTACCGACAGCCACGGTGCATCAGGGCCTATGGGAGCTGGTCCCGACCTTGCTCTGCCAGGCAGGGCATCATTGCAGGCTGTTCGCATGCCACCTACCTGCTCTACCTCCTGATGTACCGTACCGTTAAGCGGGCTGCCGCGATTGGTCCAACCATACGGCCCAGAGCCTTGGTGGACGATGTCGGCCTTCAGATGGTCAGCTCCGATCCAATGGACTTGCTCACCCTGGGCAGCGCTGCCTCCTCGTTTGCCGCTTGGGCGTTGGAACGTGGCCTCATTCTGAACACCAAGAAGTCGGCGGTGGTCGTGGGATCGGTTCGAACCCGACTCGAGCTGGACCGCCTCCTGCGGCGCAAGAGTGGGGGCGTACTGTGGGCACGATCCACGGACGCAGTCAGGAGTTTCCCTCGTGCCAGCCATATGCGCAACCTAGGGCATGAGCTGCATGGGCCCAAGGTTCGTCGCACTGTGGCCAAGGCGCGCATGGCCAAGCTACGTGGACGACTTCACCGTTTCCGTGTCCTACAACGTGCGGTGGGTAGGCGCACTACTACTCTGTGGCGCACTGGAGGAGGAGGAGGAGGAGGAGGAGGAGGAGGCAGCGACGGCGGCGAAGACGACCAAGGGGAGCGTTGGAAAACAAGGGCGATCTGACCAGGTCTTCGAGGCGAGCCCTGCCGCGGCAACGAGGGCTCCCCAGACAGGAGGCCCATCAGGGCGGAAAACGACAGCCGTGCAGGCAGAGGCATGGGCTGCCAAGCATGCGAAGTCCTGATTTTTCCAACAAACGGTCACCGGAAGTCGCGACTTCCCCGAAGACTGCCTTCTTGCCCCGAGTCGCTTTTTGACGGTCCCAGGGCCCGGCGAGGGCCCCCAGAGGCCGAACACAGCCAAACACCTTACGTCGTGATTTGTTTTACCACGCGGGCATGTCTGCTGAGATGACCGCTGGGGTTGCTAAGGGGATAGGCGGGTTAGAGGCAAAATGCCAAGGTGGGTCGTACGGTTGAGGGAAACAATTACTGAACACTTCCCCCCCCCCAAACTCAAAGTTGGCACGCGAGGGGGAGACTGCGGTCGAGGTGCAACTCATCAGACCCACCGCCAACTTTTAACAATGGTGGAAGGGGCAGGCGTTGATTGATGAATACAGCATGAGTGTTCGCTATTTTTTTCCGAGGGCTGTATCTGGCCGAACCTGGCTTCCACCTTAGCGTCCGCTGCCCAATCCTAGAGGAGCGAACAGCTGCATAAGCATAAGCTGTTGAAGGTCCGCGCGGAGCTCCAAAAGCTCATGCTTATGACATCTCGCCTCCTTCGAACCCCCCCGGTCCACACAGCGACCCCTGCGGTGATCTCTCGGCGACACCGACGAGGGTGGTTCGCAGAGGGTGTGGTTTGCAACCGGCACCCTGGGGGGGCACCCTGGGAGGAGGAGGAGGAGGAGGAGGAGGAGGCGGGGACCCTGAAAGAGCTCTCAACCGCGCCCAAAGGAGGCCCGATGAGGACGGCGTCGTGCTCCCCAAGCCCCAACGGCGCCGATCGCAAACCACACCCCAACGCAACCGGACCCTGCCCTGAGACCCGACGTTGCCCCAAAAATGCAACATCGCAAAAAATCACGACTGGATCCCTGGACCCCATCATTCTGGGTCATTTCTCGAGCCGGATCGATCTGTGAGGGTCCCGGGGCCCGAAATTGAGCAAAAAAGCCCGGCTCGAAAAAAGTGAGTCGCCAGGATCTCAGGGTTTCTAATTCATCGCCGAATCTCAGTGAGCCCTTCTCCTCTGTGAGCGCGGGGGCGCCTGCGCAACCCGCGTGCTGCTGCGGCGGCTGCAGCGCCACCGCCGCCATCCGCCACGGGCGCGCCCCCGAAACGCGCAGACCCCCGGTGCCGGCCGACCAGGGGCGCCGAGTGGCAGCCAGGGGAGACAAACCTCTTCGTCGATTTTCAAGAAATCCGACGCTCCGAAAAGATTGGAGCGGCCTGTTTTGGGCCGTTTCCGGCCTCCAGGGTTATGTTGCTCACATCGCATACTTGAGGACCACATCCCAGAAATAATTTCGAGCACCCGGAAAAGTGTCGAAAGAGTCGAAATAGTATCGGACGAATGTCTCCCAGGGTCCGACACGTGAAAACCCTTGAATTTTGGGGTACTTTTCTGGTGCTCGAAATTCTTTCTTTCGACGCCGGTGTGGAGGCCTACAGTCGGGGCGTTGATCTAAGGAACCCTGAATAAGGAACGAGGCCCCTTTGTTTCCGTGAGCTAAGCTTCGATCTCCCATCGAAAACTTGAGGAACACCTGAGGCACGCTGTGAAACCATCAAGGAGCAGAGAGCCCCTCCCCAAGGAAACCCGTCGGCCGGCCGCGCCCTGCCACGGAGCGGCGCGGCGGCTCCGCTCCGGCTGCAGCGGGCCCCGCCGCCCCAGCCGGCGCCGCCCGAACCGGGGGGGGGAGAACGAAGCGAAGACGATCGGCGACGCCGACGCCGACGCCGACGCCGACGCCGACGACGCCGACGCCGACGACGACGACGACGACGCCGACGACGACGACGACGACGACGCCGCCACCGACGACGACGGACGACGTACGACGGAAGACGCCGCCACCGACGACGACGACTGCGGCGGAGATGGGGAGGAGGACGAGGGGGAGGAAGACGAGGAGAAGGTGGAGGAGGAGAACGACGACGAGGGGGGGACGACGAGTGAGAGAAGAGAGAAAGAGAGAGAGAGAGAGATGATGCGGACGGGAGAATGAGGAGAAGGAGGAGGATGAGGGTAGGAGCACAAGGGGGATGAGGGGAAGTGGCAGGACAATGGGGAGGAGGCTCGAGGGAGGACGAGGCGGAGGAGGATGATACATAAGAGTCAAGGCAGATTTGGGAGGAGGACGAGGGAGAGGAGGAGGATGAGAAGAAGCAGCAGCAGCAGCAGCAAAACAGGGAGCAAATTAATGATGATTCTGATGATGATGAGGAGGACGACAACGACGACAACGAGGAGGGTGAGGAGGACAGGGAAAACCCATGGCAATGGGGGAACGGAACAAGAGGATGAACACGGGGGAGGAGGACGAGGGGAAGGAGAAGGACGAGGGGAAGCAGGAGGAGGGCGAGGAGAGGAGGATGATGCAGGCGAGCGGGACGAGGAGGGTGAGGACCAGCAGCGCTCCCTGCCCCGCGCGCGCGTGCGCGCCGCAGGGGGCGAGCGGGCCCCGCCTGCTGCTTGTCTGCGGTGGGCGTGAACGTCACGGTGAGCGAGACGTCCTGGCGGAGCGCAAGGGGAGGGGGGGGGGGGGCCAAAAATGCACGCCACCACCACCTCCCTCACCCCCTCCCCCTCCCAGGAAAGAGGAAAGGACGAGGAGGGTAGAGGAGAGAGGAGGAATCGACGTGGTGGTGGTGTATATTCTTGGGGTCCCCACAAGGGGGGGGGAGGGGGGGGGCGAGGCAGGACCGGGGGGAGCTGGAGAGGGGGGGCGGGGATGGGTGGAGAGTGCCGGGCCACGGAGAGAAGGAAGGATAGTGAGAGGCGCATGCAGAAGAATATGCATCTATCTGTACACTGTGTAGAGCAGATGCATGAGGACACACATGCTTACACGTGTACATGAGTAGGGACACCTATCCACAAGTATATACATATACATATACAAATATATGTATATTTATATTATATATAAATATGTGGGATAGCTAGATAGATGGATATGTATAGATATGGGTATACATGTATGCGCCTAAACCGATGCGTGTACGGGCACATGCATGTGCACATGTGTTTTTCATGTGGCGTTTTCCAAACACCATTACCTCAACCACCTTGCCATCTTCTGGGATGCCGAATTTTACTTCCGCTGGCTTCCGCCAGCGGAAAAAAAAAACTCGTTTTACTTCCGCCGCCGTCCGCCGACCTTCCGCCGGCTTCCGCCGATGAAGAGATGCCGATTCCTCCGATCCTCCAAGGCACGTGGCAATGCTGCAACACTCTTCGGGACCATTTGGGCATCCGAAGCTAACTTGGAACACGCACACACACGCACTTTCGCAACAAATGGGAAGTCCAGAAAAGAAAGGAAAACACATTGCGCTTCCTGTTTGGTGTTTGCCAAATGTGGCCCGCTCGGAACTCCTGTGGTCACTTATGCTTCCTGGGGCAACCTGGGGTCTGGGGGCCTCTTGGGGACATCGTGGAGCCCTCCTAGAGCTTCTGCACAGCTCTGGGAGTCGCCTGCAGGAGCCTGGGGAGACCTGGGGGCGGTCGGGGTCGAGGCTTCACGGCCTGAGCCCAATGCCCGCCCCTTCCCCCCCCCCCCCTCCCCCTCTTTCACGGAGGCATCACCACTCATGCGAGGAGCTGCACTGCGGGGGGTCCCTCCTTGTGTTGTGCCCCCCCCGCCCCGCTCAAGACACCATCCCCAAATCGGGAAGAATTCGAAGACCCCCACGCTGGAAGCGGCCCACCTGGTGGTGGTGGTGGTGGTGTCGCTTTTCTTCCCTCCGGTCGGCGCCCCTTGCCCTGGCTGATGCAGGAGACGGCACCAGGAAGTGAAGGAAAGCAAGAGAGTGAGAAAAGTTTGAGGCGGGAGGGAGGGGGGAGAAGGCAGGGAAGAGGAGGGAGGAGACAGGTGGCGGAGGAGGAGAAGGAGGAGGAGGAGGAGGAGGAGGAGGAGGAGGAGGAGGAGGAGGAGGAGGAGGAGGAGGAGGAGGAGGAGGGGGCCGCCAGGGGAGCCTCTTGTTTGCCCATCAGGTGCCTCGGGGCTTCTTGGAAGCCTCTTGGGGGCCTTTGGGGTCCTTTGGGGGGCCTCCAGGGGCCTGTTGGGGCCATCTTGGCGCCGAGAGCGTTCAGGGGGCCTCTGGGGAAGCTCCGGGGGCCACCTGGGGCCTACATGGAGCTCTCTTGTGGCCCTCTTGGGGCCATCATGGGGACCTCTTGGGGCCTCTTGGGCTGTCCTGGGGCCGTCTCGGGGGCCTCTTGTACCGTCTCGAGCCCGTTTTTTTTGTATGTCTAGCGATGCGGATTGTATGCAGTTGTACGGCGGTGGGGCTCAATCCTGCAGCGTAGCTCTCCGCGGCAGGGAATCCTACCTGTTCTGAAGGCAACGGCTGCAAGGTCCAGCTCCTAAATACGCAACCATGCTGCGAACAAGCGGGCTGACCTAGAGGGCCTCGTGCCTCTCACCTGGCGCGCCTACCCGAGTGCGTAGGCACTGGGAACAACTCGCTCGAAACCTGCAGCATGGACCCAAGCTGGATGGCGAACAACTCAGCAGGACCGCCACCGAAAAATCCGAAAACCTGCATCGTGCCAAAACTCGTGGCTGCGACCGGGCCAATTTGGCATCCGGGCGGCCCCAAAGAGCCCCTGCTCCGAGAGATGGCACTGGAATCGCGGCGGGGCGCCGCTGCGGCTCTGCCCCCGCCTGTTTGCCAGGCGTCGCGCCCGCATGCCACCAGCCCTCTGGGCGACAGGTGCTCCGAGGAGGGCCTCTCTCCTCTTCCACGACCCCTCTTCTCCTCATCCTCGTCGACGTGCCCTGTCGCGGCTTGGAGGATGGCGCGCGGCAAGAGGCCCCCGGCGATGGGGCACCGGCGCGGGCGCCGCGGGTCCCGGCCGCGGCGCTCGGCGCCGAGCGGCGGGGCGCTGGGCGGGCACGAGGGCCCACTCGCCAGCGCTGCTGCGCGGAGGCTGCCGCAGCGTCGGCAACCTCAAAACGGGCGCTCCTCCTCCTCCTCCTCCTCCTCCTCCTCCTCCACCTCCTCCACCTCCACCACCTCCTCCACCTCCTCCTCCCAGTCAGAGCGTCCCAGCACGCGGGTGAGGGGGGCGCCACGTGGCCTCCAGGCGGCCAAGAGCGAAAGAAAGAGAGCCATGGCACGGCTTGGTCTCGGAGCCGCTGGCGGTTGCACCGGCAGTCCGGAAGTTCGCTCCCAACTGCTTGCGATGACCAGCGGACATTACAACATTACTCACAACCTGGACTTCTACGTACAGCCCGGCGCGACTAGCTGGGAAGTTGGTGAGAGGCTCGGCTCCGAACTGTGCTGGGATGTCTGCAAAGCAGGGCTTCCTAGGCACGCTGGGGCCTGGGGAGCGACAAAGACACCTCGAATGTACATCCTAGCACGCGGGTCGGGGGGCGCCAATTGGCCTGCAGACGGCCGAGAGCGCAAAAAAACAAGTGCATGGCTTGGTCTCGGAGCCGCTAGCGGTTGAAGTTCGCTCCCAACTGCTTGCAATGACCAGCGGCTCCTAGCAAATCACAGCAAGGTGGCACGACCAGCCACGCGAATCCGGGCGGGCGTTTGGAACCCCAGTCCCAATTGTGTGGAGGCTAACCCTGTAGTGGCAACCTCAAATTGTTTTTCTCATCACCGCGCACGTGCTCCCAATCCTGCCAGGGACTGCTTGCACACTGTATGAAGAAGAGGGCGGGCCTTGGCTCGTACCGCAACCTCACATGGCCATTTTAGTCAGAACGTGCCGCAACCTCAAATGGGCATTTTAATCAGAACGCCCCAGCACCTGGGTTGAGGGCCGCCACAAGGATGGGAACCGGAGTCGGGAAGACGTAAAATTTGACAATGACTAGCGGCTCCTAGCAACCCCTAGCAGGGTGGTACGACCGGCCACGCGACCTCAGGGCGGCACCGACTGCTGCGGAGGGCGACCGCGGCGGCGCAGCCGGCGGCGAGGCCAGAGGCGCAACAACCGGCACGAGCGCCCCGCGGCGCAACTCCCTTGAGATGGCGCCAGCCCAGCTCCTGGGGCCGCCCTCGACGCCTCCGCCCTGGGCGGCTCCTGCTGCTGGGGGCTCGGCCGCCGCCAGGCCCTCGCCTTCGGCGCCCTCCGCTGCCGCCGGCACGGCCGCCGCGGGCCCGAGGTAGCCGCCTTCGTCGACGCGCGGGCAACGCTGCCGCACGCCCACCTCCCAAGGCGAGCACGCCAACCGCCGCGCGGCGGCAGCCTTCAGCTCCCAGTACGCCTCGGACCGGAGGCGCCTCGGCGGGGGCGCTGGCATCGCAGACCCCCTCCCGGGGCGCTCGTCCCTGACGGGCACGGTCTCGTAGAGCGCCGTCTTGAGGAGCGCTGGCTCGTCGCCGCCCCTCGAAAGCGCAGCCACGCCCCAGTCCTCCTGGTGCGCATCGGCGTCCTGGCCGTCGTCGAGCGTGAGCAAGCCGTCGAGCGTGGGGCAGCGCGTGGGGGCCGAGCTGGGCACGTGCGGTCCGAGGCACTCCACCTTGCTCTTCCCCTGTGCGGCGAGAGGCCCCTCCATGTCTTGAGACCTCGCGCGCGGGCTGAGCATGATTGGCGGGGTGCCTTCTGGCAGGCTGGTGGCCACCCGCCGAAAGCTTCGAGGCCCCTTGAGCCAAAATGGCTACGGACCGTCTTGAGCCCGTGTTGGGAATCTCTTGGGGCTATGTTGAACGATTACGAAGCCATCAGGAGGCATCGGATTCGAAACGGCAAGAAAGCAAACAAGATTGAGAAACACAGTGTGGGGCCATCGGAGGCGCCCTTGCGAGGCTCCTGGGCAACTTAAGAGCCGTCTTGGGACTGTCAAGAGGTACTCTTGGAGCATCTGAGGAGCTCTGGAAGCCTCCTGGGTCACCCAGGGGGGTCGTGGGACCCTTTGGGGTCAGAGCTCTGGGAACCTCCTGGTGCAGCCTGGGGAGGCCCCGGGAGACGCGAGGGGGAGGGGGTCCTAAGCGTACCTTGGGGGCCCCCTAGTGTTTTGCGGCCCGGGCCCCCTGCAGCGCCAGAGGGACATGGCGCGAGCCGCGCTGCTTGCAACATGGCGGCCACCCTCTTCCATTATCCTGCTTTTCTTTTGTTGTCGCCCTCGTCCTACTTCGCCGTCTCACGGTTGTTGCTGTCGCATTAACCGTTCGGCCCCTCTTCCGTCCTTTTCCTGCCCTCCCTTCCCACCCCGTTTCCTCTTCGAGCCTGGGGCCTCAGTACTCGTTTTTTTCCTGCTGTCCTGTGAGTCGCACAACGCGCGCGCTTCCCATATAGCTTGCATAGCCAATGAGAGATCCTGCGTTGCCATCCGCCAAACTATTCTGGACCAGCTCCTCTGTCGCTTAGTGCAAACGGGTTGGGTACGTCGCAGCGTAATGTTGTTGGTTTTTTCGTGCTCTCTGGCCACGCCGCGGGGACATCCTGGCCGCAGTCCCGGGGGCACATGCGCGACAGACACAAGCCACGCGTGCCGCTCGCCCACGAAGAGCAATCATACGCGCACGTACACCTGCTGAGCTCAGCCTGTGAGCACTGACCATACAACTAGAAGAGGAGGGGGAGGGGATGGGGGAGGAGGAGGAGGAGGAGGAGGAGGAGGAGGAGGAGGAGGAGGAAGAGGAGGAGGAGGAGGAGGAGGAGGAGGAGGAGGTTAACGCGACCAGGCCGCCCCACCCCCTATCCTTCTGCTACGGCCGTATCTAGGACAGGAGAGCATCCTCCAAGAGCATGCTTAAAACATCCTCCAAGAACATGAGCCCTCCGCTGACCAAACTGAAGAACATTCGAGGGTACCCTCCCCCAGGATGCACACGAGCATCTTTCAAACACGGAGAAGATTAGGATACCCTTCCCGAACCGACCTGACATCTCATGCCTCGGTCCGACCGTAAATCTTTCGAGCAGCATCGGTCCCCGAGGGTCCCAGGGCCCGACAAACGGCCAAATCGCCTGTCGTGGAAAAATCCGCTAACCCTGTCGGCGTGGGGGATGAGTTGTTCGTCGTGGTTGTTGTCCTCGTACGTACTCGCCGTCTTCTTTTCTGGGTCCGTCGCCGCTCCGCCCCTCTTTCCCTGGGCCCTCGTCCTCAAGCGCGCCAGCCGAAGCGAAATGAAACAACCCAGCCAAAGCGAAACTAACAACGTTGTCATTAAGTCGAAAGGAAGCCCCTTCCTTTTGATCCCTTCCCCGCCGGGGGGGGAGAGGGGGGAGTCCCGGGGGGGGTCCCAGGGGAGGTTCCCAGGGCAGAATGCCATCCCCCGTTTGCGGTTTTTGCAGAGGGGCCCTCTGTAGATGCGCTGGGGGACGGGGGTTCGCCACGACGGATCCGCAAGAGCGCCTCTAGACGGCACAAGCCCCACAAGACAGCCCAATAACGCCTAAGGACGGCCAAAGGGGGCCCCCAGACGGGTCAACAAAAACTCCCAAAGGACTTTCAAGAAGGCCCGGAGAGGCCATATTCATGGATGTGCTGAAAAAATTGTCCCCGCCCTCTCCCTCCCATTTCCGTTGAGGGCCGAGGCCTCCAGAATTGGATGCTCCTACTCGCTTCCTCTCGCTGCTCCCCCACTCCTCCTCCTCCTCCTCCTCCTCCTCCTCCTCCTCCTCCTCCTCCTCCTGCTCCTCCTCGTCCTCCTCCTCCTCCTCCTCCTCCTCCCCCTCCGCCTCCTCCTCCCCCTCTCCCTCCTCCTCCTCCTCCTCCTCCTCCTCCACCTCCGTCTCCTCCTCCTTCTCCTCCTTATTCCTCTCGCTCCCCCCCCACTCCTCCTCCTTCCCTTCCGCCTCCTACCCCCCCGCTGGTTTTCATCTTCGTCGTCTTCGGGGTCGGCGGCACCGGCCGTAAGGCCTTCGCAATACCGACGTCAGACGACGGCGACGACGACATCAGATGACGGCGACGGCGACGACGACGACGACGACCACGACCACGACGACCACGAAGACGACGACGACCACGACGACCACGACGACCACCACGACGACGACGACCTCCCGCCGCGCCCGAGGACCGCGGCGTCTCCGCGGCCAGCCTCGAAGGGCGGCGCCCCCGCCGCCCGCGACCTCACGGCGAAGCCGCCCGCTGCGAGACACAAGTGCGAGCCGACCGGATCCCTGGGGGACGCACGACGGTAAGGTCACTTTTTCGGGGGGGGGGGGGGGGGCGACGCATGCGCAAAGCAACTGGAACTCAGAGAGAGAGAGAGAGAGATAGAGAGAGAGAGAGAGAGAGAACAAAAAAAAGAGAGAGGGAGAGAGAGAGTCGAGAGACATGCACAAGGGCCTGCCCGCCTAACGCCATGCACGTCCCCGAGGGCGCGAAGCACATGCCGACGGCGCAGACCAGAGCCCTGTCGGGACGGCCGTCCGCGCACAGGGCCCCACGGTAAGGGCATTGGATAAGAAACCCTTGGGCAAGGAATCCAGGGCCTGAAATGGAAGTCTCCGGGGCGCCAGTTGAGGATTGGTCATGAATGATATCACCGCCGCCCTAATCAGTTGAGGAACCCTCCAGGGTCTGACTCCTCGTGGGCACATTCCTCAACGAACGCCCCCGGCGTGACCCGGGTCAACACAAAAGACCAGGGTCGGCCAGGGCCAGGGCCCTGTCACGAGGCCCGACTGACCGCTCAGTAGCTCCCAAGCCCGGGTCAGGGAGGGGCGGGAAAGGGGAAATCGGCCCCACCTGGCTCCTAAGCCGGGGCCGGCCAAAGGGGCTTGGCTGACCCCCGCCAACGCTGACCCGGTCACGTGCGCCCCGGGCCCTCCTCTCAATTGTTCTGGGGCGATCACTCGGGCCTCAGGCGGCCTGTCGGGACGATTCTGGCATCCCTGGAACGCCCGTGACGAAACGCAGCTGATGGGAACCATCCCGAGGGCCCCCAAAACGAATCAAAAAAATCGACTCGGAGCGGCAAGCGGCCTCCGATTCTCGGCCTCCCTCCCGGTCGCGTGAGCTCTGAGGCCTCCTACAGATAGGGTCGGAGTAGATGGGGTCGGAGGATCGCGCCGCATCGCCGGTGCATCGGCGATGCATCGGCGCTGCATCTGCACCGGCGACGTCGGCGATGCATCGGCGACGTCGGCATGGAGAAACACGGGCTCCACATCGAGCCTCTCATCGCCGATGCACCGGCGATGCGGCGCGATCCTCCGACCCCATCAACTTCGACTCCATCTACTCCGATCCCATCTTGGCGGGATGCAGATGGGGGGATAAGTCCAGATGGGGAGAGAGGCGCAACCGAGGTACAACTTGTACCTACGCCCCACGGAGGAGGTACAGTTTGCACCGACGCCACGCAGACAAGGCACAAATTGTACTCTTGACAACGTCCGCGACATGTGCGAGGATGTTAACGGGGGGGGGGGGGAGAAGGTACAATTTGTATTTGCAATCCGCAGAGAAGGTACACATTGTACCCCAACGAAACGGTACCGGATACTCATCCCCCCATGTCCTGATCCCCCCATCGCCATCCGGCCGAAGATGCCATCTGGGAGGCCTAGACGGGCGAGGCGCGGAGCCGGGGGGGGGAGGTAGCGCGAGGAGGCGGGGCGACCGCCGCCCCAGAGTGTGGGGGGGGGGGATCGGTGTCCTCCTGCGGCCGGGCGAAGCCCTCCGAGGGGGACACGCTGAAGACCTGGGCGCGGGGCGGGCGCGGCGCTCGGGGGGCAGGGGGGGGAGGGGAGGGGAGGGGGAGGGGCCTCGTGGGGGGTGGGGGGGGGGAGCGAGGAATTCATACCCCCTCGAGTCGTGACAGATTTCCCTGTCTTCACCCCTACGGGGCCCCGGGACCGTCGAAAAACGGCTCAGGATAAAAAACCGGTCCAGGAGAAGGGGTCCAGACCTCTGGGGGTCGACGCTGCGACAAAAGTCACGACGTTGGGGGTCGGGGGGATGGGGTGAAGGCGGGGTGGATGGGGAGGAAGGCGGGGAGGAGAGGGAAAGTGAAGGGGAGGAGGCAATGTGGGAGGAGGAGGAGGAGGGGGACCAGTGTAACCCCAAGACTCATCAACGATGTTGCAATAATCCATCCCTCCAACTTCCCTCTTCACAGGCCACTGCAAAGGACTCATTTTCACTGAAGGATGTGCCCACTTGGAAAACAACCGCTTGAAAATCGGTGAACTGTGCCAAAACACCGTCTCCAGCGCCACAAATTACCGGGACGGGTGCGCCATGACGGTCTTGAATCGTGCCAGACTACCAATCCTGGGATTTCAACACCACGAATCAACGTAAACGGAGCGCCCTGACAATCCGACATCGTGCTAGAACACCTTTTTCTGGAACGGTAGCCATGAGAATCATTGAAATTGCTGTAAACTCTTAAATCGAAATTGCGCGGCGCTACAGCGAGAGCCACATTTTCAAAAGGAGCCGCCCTCCATCCGTGAAGCTCTTGAAAATATTGATGACGCATATGCGCGGCGCTCAAGCGAGAACCACATTTTGAACAAAAAACGATCCGCTATCCATCCGTGGAACGCTTGCAAATTTTTGAAACGAATCGAATGCGCGCGGCGCTTAGGCAAGAATCGCATTCTTCAAATACGACCTGCCCTCCATCCGTGGCACTCGTTGTGATTATTTTGATCCGATGTGGGCGGCGCTGAGGCGAGAACCACATTTTGAAAACGACCCGCACGCCATCCGTGAAACTTTTGCCATTTCATAGCTTCAAGATCATCCTGGAAATGAAACTCTACCGGTTTCGCCAGTGAAAGCTTTGAACGCTTCCGGAAACGAAACTCGAAGCTTTTGAAGCTTCCCTCCGTGAAACTTGTGCCATTTTCACGCGAAACGCCCAGCCCGCCCGTTCGACCAGCCCAGGGGCGCGACTTAACTAGTCCAAGGAAACAAAATGGAGGAGGGCGGCAGGCGCCCCCAGAATCGAATCGATAAGTCGAATCGGCGATCGTACTGAATCGGATCGGCGGAAGCCGGCAGCCGAGTCGGGAGACGTCGACTCGGCAGAAGTCGGCAGGCTGGCATGCCTCCACTCAGGCACCGGGACCCACACCGGCATCCGGAGTCGAACCGCATCGGAATCGGAAGCAATCGGTGTCGAATCGCATCGAATCGGAGGGATCGACACAAGCCCTCTAGATGGGGATACAGGTTGTTCCCTTCGGGTCTCGAGGGGCCCGTCCCCAACTGGGAGGAGGAGGAGGAGGAGGAGGAGGAGGAGGAGGAGGAGGAGGAGGAGGAGGAGGGGGAGGAGGAGGAGGAGGAGGAGGAGGAGAGGAGGAGAGGAGGAGGAGGAGGAGGAGGGAGGAGGTGGGGGGGGCCCACGCCGCCCTGCCACACCGCCACCGCACCTGCTCGGCCACCCCGCCTCGCCCCGTCCGCCCGGGAGAGCCCGGCCTCGCGGCGCTCGGGGGCGCTTCTCCCGAGCCCCCCCCCGCGGCGCCGCGGCCCTGCCCCCCGGGCACTCGGCAGGCCTCTCGCAGGGCCCCTGCTCGGCCACCTGGCCCCGCTGCCTCCCTCCTCCTCCTCCTCCTCCTCCTCCTCGTCCTCTTCCTTCCTCCTCCCTCGTCCTCCTTCTCCTCCTTCCTCCTCCTCCTGCCTCCTCCTCCTCCTCCTGCCTCCTCCTCCTCCTCCTCCTCCTCGTCCTCCCTGCAGCTAGTCGCAGCCCTCGGACGCCGCCGTCTCGTCGTCCCCCCTCCCCCCCCCCCAGGGGCGGCCGGGGGACATAGCCATCCCGCCCAGCCCAGGGTGCCGTCCTCTGTCCCACGTGCTCTCCTTCCACTTGCTCGCCAAGTAGGCTTTGCCTGACGGGATAGATTTCTGTGTTTTTGAAGAGCTGATGGGTGCTGGGGCTGAGCCCGCGGGCCTCCCTCGGTTCCTGGGTTCCTTGGCTTCCTGGTTCCTTGGTAGCCTTCCTCGGGTTCCTTTGTCCTCGTCTTGGTGCTGGCTCCTCGGGTTCCTTGGTTGCTTGGTCTTGCTACATTACTCGGGTTCCTTGGTCGTGGTGCCTTGCTGCGTTTCTCGGTGTCCCTGGGTTCCTTGGTCTTGGATCCTCGGCTAGTTGGTCTTGGTTCCTTGCTTGGCTGCTTCGGTTCCCTGCCGCCTTCCCCAGGTTCCTTAGTCTTCCTTGGCCCTGGTTCTTTGCAACGCGTTGCCTTGCAATGCAAAGTATCGCCAATATGTTGCCCGGGTTCCTTATGAGGCCCTGCCCGAGGTTCCTTTGTCCTGCCCAAGCGCACATGTAAACTCGAACGTGACACGCTTAGGCTGAATGTTCAATCTACACACGGGTTGCCCTGGTTGCACAAATTGCACGGGCTCCCCATGTCGTAAGCAATAGCAGTGTCCGGCAATGTCATGCAATGCCGCGTGATGCCAAGCAACGCCAAGCAACACCGACCAGCGACAAGCAACGCCAAGCAACGCCCAAGAAGCGTCAAGACAGTCCAAGCAACGCCAAGCAATGCCAAGCAACGCGAAGCACTGCAAAGCAATGCAATGCCAAGCAGGGCAATGCGATGACAAGCAATGCCGCTTAGGAAGCATTCCCCTCATTGGGGTTGTGCTGGGTACATTCTGCAGGGGCTTTATCAATATGTCTCTTCCCAAGCGGGAACGGCCGCTGGGGGCATCGACCTTCAGTGAGGTACTCATGCCACCAGCTCAAGGCTCGAAGGTCAAGGACGGTAAGCAGGGGGTGGATGAGGAGGAGAGAGGATGAAGGGAGGGAGGGAGGGGAGGGAGGGAGTGAAGAGTGGAGTGGAGCGGGTGGGAGAAGGGTGGAGGGAGGATGGCGGTAGAGGAGGATGGACGTGGAGGAGGAGAGATGTGGAGGAGAGGTCGGTCGTGTCAGCGGGTTCAAGAGGGGGAGGTGCAGAGGGGGGGGGGAGAGCGGGCTGGTCCAAAAACGATTCTGGTGACAAGGTCTGGACATCGTCCGTGTTTATTGCTGATGTCACGGCATGTGCCGTCGGTGACATTACGAGAACTGTCAACACGTGGTTCCATGGAGATTGCTCCGAATACTATGGTTTCCCCACGTTGCTGGAGGGACCAGGCCGTGACACACTAACATTGTAATGAGCAGCTCCGAGCTCGGCGAGAGAACAGTCCGATCGGTATCAATGATACCTCGTCCAGGCCATACTAACATGCCATGACCAGAGTTCCAAGACACGTGCGAGTGAAGCTGTGACAGCAACCAACAATGCGTCGGCAACGATCTATGCCACGCGAACTGCAATTTGCTATTTTCAGACAACTTGCATGCACGACGTTGACAGGTATCGAGGTCCTCCTCACTCCACCCTCCTCGCCCATTCCTCCTCCCTCCCTCCCTCCCTCATTCTCCCTCGTCGTCCGTTCCTCCCTCCCTCCCTTCCTCCTCACCTCCTCCTCCTCCTTTACTCCTCGAGTGGCGGCAGGAGGATTGGCAGTAGTGGCAGCGATTGCGATTGCAATCGTTGAGCCAGTTGTGCCTTCTTGGAGGGCGGCGGCTCGCTGCGTCGCTCGAGCGCGCGACGTCGGCGTGGGACTTCGTGGCGTGCTGCGGGGCCCGGGCCGTGGTGTGGTGTCGTCGTGTGCCGTGCCGGGTTGCCGTGCCGCCCAGCAGTGCCATGGGTGCCGTGCCGTCGTGTTCTTGGGTCGGCTGTGCGCTGGCCAGCGGGGCTGGGGTGGGGTACACATGCCAGCCAGGCACCCTGGGCAGGGTGGTGGCCGGCCTTCGCTTGGAGGCCGACGAGGTCGGATCCCCCGCCCGCCCGCCTCGGGGTGAGGCTGTTGGGGGCGTGAGCCGGCTGGCGGGCGTGTTCGGGAGGTTCTCGTCCCCGCAGGGCCCGCCCAGCAGCGCTATACACCCTTGCGCCAAGTGAAGGCGCGCAGTCACGCCCCAGAGCAACGGGGAGCCACCTCCTCCTCCTCCTCCTCCTCCTCCTCCTCCTCCTCCTCCCTCTCTCCTCCCTCCTCCTCCTCCTCCTCCTCCTCCTCCTCCTCCTCCTCCTCCTCCTCCCTCCCTCCTCTCCCTCTCCTCCTCCTCCTCCTCCTCTCCTCCTCCTCCCTCCTCCTCCTCTCCCCCTCCCCCCTCCTCCTCCTCCTCCTCTCCTCCTCCTCCTCCTCCTCCTCCTCCTCCAACTCCTCCTCCGTCTCCTCCTCCGTCTCCTCCTCCAACTCCTCCTCCGCCTCTTCCTCGCCCTTCTCCGTTACCTCCTCGCCCTTCTCCGCTACCTCCTCCCCATCCCGATCAACCTCGACCTTCCACCGTCCTCCCTCCACCCATCTCCCGATACTCCTCCGCCCGCTCTCCATCATCCCCTCCTCGGCGCCTGCCTCTCCCCCCCCCACCTCCCCCTCCCCCTATCCGCCCCTGGGGGAACAACGAGGTACCTATACCTCTACTCCTCGGACCTCTCCTGGGTTGCGCTCTGACCAGGAGCGCGAGGAGAATCCAGCCGTGGCGACGACAACTCTCCGGGCTGAGCAGCGCTATCGGTACCTGTGCCTTTTCTGAGCCTCTCCCTTCC